GCCTAAATCATACAAAATGACATTGTTTGATACCTACATCATACAAAATGTCATTGCTTGAAGGTACTGTCTGTTTTGCATTAGATCTTCCGCAATGGCATTGTTAGCCATTTTATAGATGTTTCTGATGAGAACCAGTCCAACTGGATGAGATATGTCAGGCTCGCCAGCCGAACACAAGAACAGAACGTTGTGGTCCACCAGAGTGGAGGAAACATTTACTTCACCACCAACAAACAAATCACAATGGGGGAAGAGTTGAGGGCGTGGTACAGCCAAGACTATGCCCGTTGGTTCGGTGAGTATACACTTCAGTGGAATCTGCACCCCCTCGTCAGCAAAGAAGAGAGAAAAGTAGGTTGGGACTGTTCTAATTAGATATAAACCCCAAGCAAGACCAAGAGAGGGCACACCTTTCCTAGCTATGGAGGCTCGTTTGATAGGAACTGCACTTCGACTGTGAAATGTGTACGTTGTGTTCGCGTCGCTACTAACAAAAATTAACACTCCTGACCAACATGGCTCTTTTTCAACCAATGAGGGGGTACATCTGCTCAAGACAGATATGATGCATGTGCAAAAGCCTCTCCCCTCCACAACAGGGAGGCCAGGACCTCACTTTTTCGACTGGAGGGGCATGCCCCCCCCCCCACTTTTTGCAGGGCTTATAATGGGATGGGGCTTAATGGATCGGCCTCTTAATGGCTGATACCTGATGGTCAACAACTGGCTTCCCCACTTTGAAAAGCGTTCCGCTGGCAAAAACCCACTCATTGCAACAGAAAATGATTTCACATGCTCAGTGCCACCTGCACCAAACGTGCATGAGCCTTAGGGTACACTCGGTGAGCTCCTACCAGAGGGAAGTCTTGTCTGTATATGGAGCAGATGTAAAGGGAAAAATGTGCATGAGTTGTGTGCGTTGACCCATTTTTTGTGTGTGTTTGAATGATCCCAGGGGTTCCTGACAAGCCAGGCTCTTCCTTCCACTGCACCCAGTGCCCTATGCAGTTCCTGCAGCGCCGACAGCTGTCACAGCACCTTGGCTTCAAGCACCCAGACATGGCCTCCCGGCGCTACAAGTGCTCTCTCTGCCCGCGGGCCTTCGTCTCCAGCACTAAGCTGCAGCTGCACATGCTGACCCACATGGGTCTCAAGCCCTACAAGTGCAGCCACTGTGGCAAGCAGTTCTCTGACCCCAGTAACCTGCGCATCCACTCCCGGATCCATACCGGTGAGTCACATAGTACACACCTTCAAATTATCAGCACACAAACTAACCACACTAGCCAACACCTCCTTTTTGGATCTGTTTAACATCAAGTATTTCCCAAGCATCGGAAATCATGATCAACTGTCAGTTTTGGTAGTCATAGGTAATTTTAGCCAAATTCCAGGAGGAATTCCGGCCTTTTTTTAGTGGATGTGCCATTCCATTGGCCCGAGGTAGCTAGCCCTGTATATAAAAAGTGAAGCCAATTTTGGGGAGAGAACTTAAAGAACCTTAAATGTGCAGTCGATTGGGACAGGGCATGGGCAGCGGAGAGGGAGTCGTGGGATAGCTGTGAGGGTACAGAACCACCCACGTACAATTAAGGTCAACACTTAAAAATCTTTCCTGTACTTTGGTAAAATAATCTGTACCCCCCTCCACCCTTTCCTCAGAATTTTTTCTAAGCACAATTGTAACAACCTTTTTGCATGGTACATTGGGATGAGAATCATTTCTGAAAAAAAAGATAACAAACCTACCTGTTTTCAAACCATTGTAGAGGTGTACTACCGTTTGTGCAAGATGCCTTGCCTTGCCTGGGCAGCAGGCCCTAAACATCATGGTGGCTGGTGTCTTATCTCTCAATTACAGTCAGTAAAAAGTTGTGTAAAATTTGTATAGACCATTCAAAATACAGGGGAAGAGAATACATTAACCCTAACACTTCTAAGTCCTCCAACGGGTGAAGGATTGAGGAGGGTTAGGGTTAAAGATTGTTGAAGACAAATGAATTTTTGTTTTCTTTCTGACTGCAGAAGAGAAGAGGTTCATTTGTGACATTTGTCAGAAGGCCTTCCGCCAGAAGATCCATCTAATCTCCCACATGACAACCCACACTGGAGAGAAACGCTTGAAATGCCCCTACTGTGAGCTGACGTTTTCCACCCACTCGACGCTCACCCAGCACAGGCACTCCCATGACACCGGCAAAGAGGTACGGCCAGTTTAGAGTCAGTCACATAACTGAAAACTTGACGTGCAGCCGTCCCGCACACATTTTATAGTTGTTGCTGAAGCACAAGTGACCAGTCACCAAAGGACCCTGATGACATCGCTACAGAGTTCAAGTGATTGAGCTTTGACTTGGCCACTGACCAGTGTTGTAGTCGAGACCACTTAAGACCTTCACAAGACCACACAAGACCAACACAAGACCTCTAGTATGAATTCAAGCCACAAGCTATTTAAATGAACTGCAACAAAAGCATTCCTTTGTCATTGTTCACACTGTTGCTTGTGACAGGTCTTGTGTCTAGTCTTGTGTCTGGTCTTGTGCATAGTCTTGTGTCTGGTCTTGTGATGGTCTCGACTCCAACACTGCCACTGACCTACCTTTCTGTGATTGGGCCAGCACCGTGTGATCACCATACCTAACAACGGAAGTTTGCACTTTTTGTGCTTATTTTGCTTAGATGTATGATGACATCGCATTCACCTGAAGCATGAATCGGCTGTAAGGTATTGTGAAGTATGGAGACTGACTTCTGGAATGGAACTCGGCAGTTCTGAAACATATCCTAGATTCTTTTGTGGCCCTTTTTTTTGGTGATATTGTTCACTGACCAAGGACCTCCGCAGCTGAACTACTCAGACATACGTCATTTATATACATTTATTTTGCTTTGTTTTTCCCCCTCTGTACCACACATGCAGTTGCGGTGTGAGAAATGCGATCGCAAGTTCAAGACCTACCGGATTCTTCAGAAGCACATCAAGACCCACTCCTCACAACGCAACTTTAAGTGTGCGTCCTGCAGCAAGGCTTTCTACACCCGCTACCATGCCAAGCGGCACCACCAGAAGTGCAGGGGACTGCCGGAGGAGCGAGGTAAGAAGAGAGACGAGAGGCGAGAAGAGGGTAAAGACGGGGAGAAGAAAGCCAGAAGGCGGAGAGGGCGACCTGCAAGGCATCCGAGGCACACCTCAGAGGAATCAACGCCAGACCCAGTGGAGACCTGCACTGTCACCAGCAGCACCGATACCCGGCCCTACAAGGGGAGGAACACGGAGCATGCCCTGATGGGCCCAAGAGAGGGTCATCCAGGGAGAGCTGACCGAGAGGAACTGCCCCAAGATGGCACAAGGGGCTTACCTGGGGAAAGTGTCAGGATGCAGAGGGGGGCTTTTGGTGATGGGCCTAGTTTGGATTATTTTGACGGTGGTGGTGTCTTGAGCTTGTCAAATATTGAGGCTGGAGTGTCCTCTGCTGAGTTAGATCAGTTGCCTGAACAGCAGAAATATGATCATAGACGGAACAAGTCGAGGAGAGCTGCCAGTTTGAGGGGTTGTTCTGTGAGTGATGGCACCCGCCATGACGGGAGACCTGTCCGACTGAGGAAAAAACCCAAGAGATACTCCCCCGAAGAGGACAATTCTCCAGATAAACGTGGGCTCTCCGGCAGTGGCCAACAGACGAGGGGCAGAAAGCGTGGCATCTTCAATTTCAACATCGTCGGAACACCAGCACCCAGTGGAGAAACGAACCCAACAGACCAAAGATTTCAAAGGGGGACCAGCAATGACTCAAATCCCCAGCCTGGTAACAGCCTGGAAACCTCCCTCTTCAACTCCAGTCATACCCTTGAATCAAATATTCTTGAAGACTGCGGAGATGCCAGGGGGAGTCCTTCTACCTCCTTCTCAGAGCTGATGGAGGGCGGTAGCCTCCAGAATGCCAGCTGGCCCACATCTGCTGGGATAAGTGCTCTCGACAATACCCCCAGGGCAGTGGAGCCAAGCACATCAGACCCAGTTGGGATGTTGCCAGGAAGGATTGGGCAGTCACTGTCAGCAACAGCAGCCCCACAGACATCATCATCTGTACCACAAACAGCGGAAACTGACTCAGCCCTGCAAATGGCAAGTTCCCTCTATGCAACCACTTCATCATCCCTGGCAACAAGTTCAGTGTCGATGCAGATAAGGCGAGAGCTGACGAGTGATATGGAGGCCAACGACCAGTGCGACGATGAAGAAAGGGCAGGAACAGTCAACGATCATGTTGAAGAATAGTGTAATTACGCGTAACACACATAGGTGTTTAGTCGACTGCAGAAGACTACTTGGACCTGATGGCTTGGAGTTACTATGAAAGCAGTGCCCAGTGCTCCATTCATGCCAACATGTTTGCTCTGATTTGTGTGTTTATAGAGTCAAAGATCGTGCAAAAGAAGTTTTGGAAATTGCTTATGTAAAAAAGCTCTCCCTTAACCGTAACAGTCCTCCAACAGGTGAAGGATTGAGGACTGTTAGGGTTAATGGTTTTCTCTGTACAAAGGAACTCCTTGTAAAGTTGTCAAAAGTACATGTATACCTCTAAAGTGTGATGTCAGTTTGAACGAGGAAGTAGAAGTACATGTATAGCGCAAACGCATGGATTACATATACATGTACATGCATAACTTGGTTCTTGCACTGTAACACATACACATAATCGTTTGTGTAACATATTCACTTCAGTGCTTTATACATTTAAGGGTAAAATTAGGGACACAATTTTACATCAAAAGCAAGAATAGTTTGACTGCTCTGTGCATTAATATCGTTGGCATTATCTAATAGCCGTACAGGCTAGGTACATTAAAATCGCTATCACAATATGAAGGGGTATAATTCATGGCACCACGCGGTCTTTGTGAAGAGGATTACATGCATATCTGTTGATTTATTCAAAGAGTCGGGTGTTACATATCCACAGGTGATCATTGACAGTTCTATTTGTTAACCACTTGCCTCTGGGGTTCCCGGTACCAGGTACCTTGGGAACAATCATTTGTGTAGGTGTAAACATCCAGTAAATGAAGTTATGAAGAATTTTGAATAAGGAAAATCTTGAAAATCGCCCAGGAACTTATCCCCCATATGCAAATTCCACCTGGCAGGCAGTGGTTAAAACTGTTAGTCCTCAGAACGGTTCCATAGCGGGAAAAACTTACATGTTTAGCAAGAGAACAGCCTGTCAGTGCTGCATTAACTTTTCCAGGATTGATGACAGTAGCATTTGTTAAAATCTTAAACCTTCAGGTCTCAACTAAGGACCATACCTTTCACAGTGAACATATTTATATGTGTATTTACATTTATCTGGAAAGGTTAATTTAAGAGGATAAACTGATAAAATCCTCAGACAAATGCTGCAGTTTTATTTTTACCAAGATTTTCAAAATTCTTTGGGATTTGTGGGATTTCCAAAGACGAAAGATGGGTACAGCCCTTCCATTATAACCGTTTAAAGAGTTTGCCGTGGGGTATTCCTGCAAATAGGTGACTTTGGAGGACAGAGGAAACTTCACCCAAAAAAATCATGCGGACTACAGGTTAAAGAATGTTAGTAAATCCTTTTGCATGTACCATACCTACATGGCAATGTATGCGCCAACCAATGAGAAATAAACTCAAGGAATTCCAATGTCTTCATTCTGAAACCCCTTTTAATTCAATAAAATCTATGTACAGAATATGCTCACAGCATGCTTTCCTGTAACTACATCTACTTCCCATCAACAAACATCACATAACCTTGCCAAAGAATTTACATGAGATTGGGAAACAACATCAGAGCCATTTAACCATTCAGAAAGCTTTTCCAGTTATTTTGATTCATGGATGTTTGCAAACTTTGAGAATCACTATGAAGTCTGTAGTCCTATCAGAAACTGAAATCATTATTTCATACTTCTAAACAACACCAAGAGACCATTGCAATTCACCCCAAGCTGAAGTGCACCCCCAATCGGCAAAAGAAAGACAGCTCGTTACAAGCGGGTTCTTGCACGCGTTCTGCATGTACGCAAAGATCATACATGCCAGAATAAATTAGTTATGCATACTCAGTGTGCTCCGCGTCAAATGCACATGTGCCTTGTAAGCCTCATGGCGCGTCTATGCGGTATCGAAAAAAGCATGCCCTCTTTTATTCTGCTCAGAGCGGATAGCTTGTTTCCTTGGGGGATTTACAGCCAGTCTGTGCTCGAGTTTTGCCTCAATGTGGTGGTTCAGGAATTCTGAGGTTAACCCTAACCCTCCTAAATCCTTCACCTGTTGGAGGACTGAGGAGTGTTAGGGTTTAACATTTGTAGACAACCAGTGGCAACTGCAGGATGCTGCGTATTTTATGGATCTCAACATCTATAACTTCCAGATCAATTCCATTACGAGGTCCTTTCCATTCCCAATCAATTCCATGACAAAGTCATTTCCATTCCCAATCAATTCCATGACAAATTCTAGGTCAGGACTTGACGTGCTGGGTGAGCTTGCAAACATGAGGGGCTAGGCTCCAATCTGTGAGCAAAATAAAATCGAGAAAATTATTGGAATGGAGGGTATTGTGTCTAAAAATACTCCACACTGTCAAAACACATATGTGCCCAACTGCATTTGTTTTAAAGAACATGAAGACAATGAACATTATGACCTACTGCCGTATTACCCATCTGCAGAAACTTCTGAATAAGAATACACGAACACGCTTTTTTGGTCAATTTGGACCTAATTTTAAGTCAATCTTTCAGTCACCTGTAACCGACTTGTTAACCTGTGTTAATCTTCATCATCAGGGGGTATGCCTAGCTCCTCATCTGTCCACTTAGAGGCATCAGGCCAGGGGTTGTGACCCTGTAAGAGAATAGTTTTAATAAAACAGGAAATGTGTAACAGCACACTGAAAGTCCCGTAGTTCTGAAATGCTCAATATTTGTAATTGTATCATACACCAGTTCCCTGAAATCAGTCCCTTGCACATTATATGACTATGTTGCCATGCCCTCTTCATAGCAAGTATGTTTCCAAGATTGTACATTTCAAGGTGTACAATCTTGAAATTTGGGGCATACAGCATGAAGTGGGTTAATGGTGGAGGAACTTCAAAGTAACCTACCCCAGACAATTTCAAAGAGCTTGTGAAATGTACAAAACTAGGACATCAAACATTTGCGTAATACGTGTACATTACAAGATGTCCCAAAATGTTCAAATTGATTTTTTTAACCCAAAAAAACTGATACAGGTTTTGCTTTTTAATAGTCATCTTTTGGCTTCACTATAAATTTTCAGATCATAAAAATTGGTTGTGCCAAAGATAAGCCTGATTGTGTAAGAGATAACATTTTTGTACTTCTGGCAAAATAAAAAAAAAAGGATATATTCACATGCTTCGTTTGTAAGAACAACACAGTTCTAAGTACATTGACGTTTCTTCTGTCTTTTACCAATAAAATTCACATTTTCAAATAAAACCATAAAACCTCTGTGCACTGTTTTTATTTTTTTCATAAAATAGTACCGATTTACATTTGTTATCAGAGAGTGTTGTGGTGCGTATTGCTTAAGGCTGACTGGATCTCAGCTGGTGAATTCACTGAGTAATACTGGTTTTCCCATTAACTGCTCCATGACAGGTACACTGGTCTTAAATATCTGCTCATGTAAGAGAGACACAATTTGCAGAAACACACTTTAAACATTTATTTGATAAATTATTAATGACTTAAAAGTTAAGGCCAGGCAAAGATGAATTCTCACATACTCCTGACACTTACAAGAACATCTTCAGGTTCGTGGTAAAACCTCCACAGAATCCAGAACCACATGGCTCCAGCTAAAATCTCTCCTTTCCAGTATTGCTTCCTACTGGGCTGTGTGGCACCTCGGTACACAATACTCCCACTGTGGTTCAGCAGAGAATTGAAAATAATTGAATGGTCCGTCAGTGCTCTATATGGTCAGTATGCCCATTTAGGCCCTACTACTTTTTTAAACTAGAAAACTGCGCTGAGAGAGAAAAACAGCATCTGTAAGTACTTTGTGATTAGTTGAAGACAATATCCTTTACAAAAAACTCTCACAGCTTACATGTAACATGTAACACGTTGCAAAGGACATGGAGTGTTGGACGATCATACATGTAGGTTTCAGGTTGGAACTAGCACAAGGACTTCCATGACTGGTGTACATGTATGTGTTGGGCGCCATCAGTAGATCTGCACAGTTGCTCCATCTTTGTGCCAATTGCCGGTACTTAAGGCCAGCGGAATGAAATTTCATGTTTTGTGTCCGAGCATAAATGAAAACACATGTTGCATCCTAGTCCAGCCTTCCCGTTTTCATCATTATATCATCTCACTATAAAAGGACAGTCACTGATGAAATGCCGACAAGACATGAATCTGGGACTGGCGAAAATGTCCGATTTTGTTTAAAAATTGGTCTACTGAGGCCTGTAACTTTTTCTTGACTCCCCCATAGATTTTGTAAACAACTGCTGAACAGGAGTCGTGATGCAACATTCCTTCTGCCTAGGGTTTCGGGCTGGGCCCAGTGTGGCTAGCTGACTGCATGCAGCTGTGCAGAGTTGGTGGGAGACTTTCATGTGCAGGATGCATGGCGTTAAGCACTGGGTTTATGTTGTAGGCATTTCCTGGGGCATGCCTGGCCTAATCAACCTTTTCGACGTTCGCAATGCATTGTGGGTTTGGATGACATGCATGCAACGCATTTTATGCACAACCCTGTGGGAGAAGTGTACCTGCCAAACGTTAATCTGTTTCCATTTTATTTCATGCTCCAATTCAAGCCATCCTCTTCTGACACAGTGTTGCATTATTGATTTGGGACGAAGATATTCACAAACTTTGAAGTTTAACCCTAACCTTCCCCAACCACACAGAATTAAACAGTAGTAAAATGTTTAATTTTGTGGGGATAGGTCTGGTAGGCCCATAACAGCTGGCTTTTGCATTGGGTTTGGCATACCTCAGAAAAACCAAGTCCAACAGCCTCTGTGCGCAAAGTGCTATATGGGTGTTTAACTTTGTGTGAATGGGGAAGGATAGGGCCAGCAACCCTTGGGGGTTAGGGTTAAAGCTTAGCAGAGAAGGAAAATTCAGAGAATTCCTTCCAACAACACCACCTTTTGTCAAGGACCGTGCTTTGACTAATTCGTTAATATTAATGTTCTAGTACTATGTTGTCTAATCAAAATTATGACTTGCAGCTCATTCATCCCGCTTTGACCAGTCACGTTCATTTTCAGTCTGTAGAGTGACTGGTGCCCTTAAAAAAGGCAATTAGGCCCCTAAGGGTGATTTGTTCTTACAAATATTTGAAAACGTATTTGAAAATGTTTCAAATTCTTGTATAATCTGATAATATGCATGTATCTGTGAGTTGATGAGCAGATACATAGAAAAATTTAGTAGAAAACTGTAACTTGTTTTTGACTGGTTCACTTCCCCCATAGGGCTGTGCATAAAATGCATTTGTCATCTACACCCATAATGCATTGCAAACGTTGAAAAGGTTTATTCTACCATGTCTGCCATCAGCAAATTCTCTCTAATTTGTGGGAGTTGAAGATTGCTCTAAAGTGGAAGTAAAAGGTGGAGATTTCATACAATTGTACAGGACCGGCCACACTGAACTACATGTAACTTGAACTAGGCCTACATCATACATGTACTGTACATGTATGTATTTACATGCACCCGTACCCCGACATACATGTATCATTGTCAAGTGTCCGGAATCTGGAACCAGTGTTTTGCGCTACAAACGTAGGCTACTATACTACTTACTGCCTTTTTGGTGTCGCACGCAGAGCACCTCTGAACTGTCCAAACGTTACCCGTAGTTTTGACAAGCCGTACATAACTCTGTAGAAGTGAATATTGCGCTTTAAATCATAGATAGGCCTCTTTCGGCAATTTGTGGAAGCAAACTGGAAGACGGGACCACTACCTGGTCGCCGATCCGATATCGGTTACTTCGTTCTTGTCGTTAATCCGTTCGCCCAATTGCCAATCCACCCATTTGGTACTTCGCCCACAGTACGAGGCTTCGTGCATACATGGGTGCACTGAACCAATTCAAGCTCCATTGAACATAGTGTAAAATCAACCAAGTTTGGAGCCCC